GAAGAAGAAGAAGAAGAAGAAGAAGAAGAAGAAGAAGAAGAAGAAGAAGAAGAGTGACACGTTTGTCAGTCGAATCAAAAGTGTAAACATCAATTTGTAACGAGATCTTCATTTTTGCCAATAATTTTAATTTGCTCAAAGACAATCGTCCAAAAGAAAGGTGTGATTTTCTTGGTTACAAAAAACAAAAAACACACCTTAATTTGAGTTCTAGAGAACAGACACACAGAATGTGTACGCGTGGAAAGTAGTTCCGTACGTAAGAATTTACAACATTAGTTCTGTATGGTACCATGATGAGGGAAGCTATGTATTTTTTTTTCATATTTCAAATTTTAAAAAATTTCCCAAAATACTATAGTTGTGTCTTCACGATACGAAATTGAGCCTATTGCACTAGCGCTGTTTAACATTCTATTAATTGATACTCTCTCTCTCTCTCTCTCTCTCTCTCTCTCTCACACACACACACACACACACACACACACACACACACACACACACACACACACGGTAACCCCAGCACACCCTGTCCTTATCTCTCGCTCTCCGACCACCAGAATCCGTGACTACTCTCCTTACATACCTCAAGGTCAGCAAGACTGACCACCAAACAAGGAAGGTGGTTTCAACATGGGGCCCGTTTGGAATTCTGTTTAATCTTCTTTTTTAAACAAAATTTTCTTGTACCGTAGGCGTTTTTCAGCCCCCATCGACACGATTTAAACCATTTTATTTGGGCTGACTTTTGATGTCATAGGCCTCTATACAGGGCATCTAAAAAAAGAGAACACACTTCAAGGATACTAACTCGGTCATCTCTACACTACTTTCAACAAAACTTTGAACAAGCAAAATTCAACAACGAAGACATTAAGTTTGTAAATATGAAGAAAATCAATCAGTGTGATGGAGAAATATCAAAGTTACAATTTTCAACCAAAATCGGGTAAATCGCAAAATGTTACTTCTAAAACAATGTTCAGCTATATGGGCGTGATCGGCCTGTTCTGGTTTCAGGACAAAGATGACGTGACACCACGAATGTCACATCAGAAGGAGATCTCATCGTGCTGAGAAAGTTTTGTAGAAGTTTGGGGAGAAGGTTTTATGCTGTAGAGGCCAGGTTCAATTGGGACGGGGCCACACCCCACACGTCAAGAGTGGACCTTGTGTGGTTGTGAGAAAGCTTTAGAGAGCGCTTATCAGCCGTAATTTTACAATAGTTATGAAGGGTCACCACATTTCCCTTTACGTGAGCCCCTTCAATTATTATCACTGGTTTCTTCGTTTGTTTTTTT